ATAATAATAATAATAATAATAATAATAATAATAAATAAACTAAATTTTGCATGGGAATAGAAAGAAGTAAAATTATTTGTTCTTTTTTTTTAATAACTTTTCCCTTTATAGTTTTCTTCCCAATGTGAAGTGGAAACACACAAAAACTGAAAAATTTCCTCTTGGCAAATGGTTTTTCAAAAGACCACCGCTCTTTCCTATCACGTTAGGAATTTTACTAGTGTGTCGCAGTTGCGACAATGTTATCATCGGCGATACCAAAGAAACATTCTTGTATTTCGGCTTGCGCGAAGAGAACCTCGACAACATGATTCGTATGAATAAAGGACATTGGAAAGCCAATGAATCCGGACGGCCTCTTTTATTTTTTAAAAAATCGCATTTTGCGTTGCCAGTAGTTTACTTACTTTCACTGCGGTAATTAACACTCATATAGGACTTCACCCCACTGCATTGACAGGTTGGGTTTTTTTAAACATCTTTATATACTACAAGCTGCTCAACGCTAACTTTGAAGAAGAGGCAGGATTGGAATTACAACAAGCGAAACGCTTATTTTTTCTCGCATTTATGAACCAACGTTAGTCTGCTTTCAATAGTCAAAACGTTTAATAGCACCTGAAAGAAATAGAATCTTTAGAAATCGGTGATCAGGAACTTTTCCACATTCTTTGAGACAAAACTAAAAAGAAATCGAAACTCAACCTGCTTCATTCAAAACTTAGATCTACGGCTTTGAGAACAAATATTAAAATTTGTATTAAAAAGATGAAACCCATTAAGCCTTGTGACATCCGTCGTGACACCTGTAAAAATCCTATTGCAGGACTTATAAAAGCAGTACAAAGTTGAGACGATCTGTTGAGCGAGGCAAGCACAAAATACTTTAAATTCATGATAAACTAGTACACCGACTAAGTATTTGTCGTTCTGCGAAATGTTTCCACTACAAAACAATCAGATAAATCCAATACTGAATTATGTGCATTTGTGGAAACATTAAAATATACGTTTGCGACAGCAGTGCATTTGAAGACAGAAAAGAAAGCTTTTTTAGACGTGAGACTCACCGTTGCCAGAGGTCGACCATATCTTTTAAACGAATATCTATTCTAGAACTTGGGCTAATGGTAGCACTAATTAGGACAAGACTCTTAGAACCTGTAGGAGAGCAGCTGTAGCCGAAACTTCAGGCACAATTGTGGTCATGCTCATAATACACACCTATATGAATACGATTTAACAAACAGTTATCACAATCGATCACGTTCTACGATCTCGGACGTTGTAGCTCTACCTGCCCTTTTCGCAATAGAGTCTCATTTTGTATTTCAATTTACATTTTATTTTATTTATTTTATTTTATTTTTTTTTGTATCAAACTGTTATTTTGGCAATACACAGTTGCTTCTTCTCTAGAAGAAAGTGACTCACAAAACTTTACTTTCTAATTTGATTCTAATTTTTTTTTTCTTCTTGAATCGGCTAGTGTTTTCCTAGGATGCTAGGACCGACTTGAAAGTGCAAATGAAATTCAACCTACTTATCTATTGCATAGAGCGCTCCAACCCTGCATTTGAACTTCGACCTGGCTACCATATGAGGTAACAATCATGACGCATCAAAAAATTTCAGCAAACTGATTAATGTATCATTCAAGAAGCAGAATACATCGTGTTCCAAACTAAATTAATCTTATCAGTTTACATTCGAAGAACCAAAGTGTAATAATGCAATAAAGAGCAGGAAAAAAAATTTATAACGACAGACAAAAATTAGATAGTCAAATCAATTGGATTTTAGTTTATTTACAGCAAGCTGTCGTCACACCAGTTGAAATTTTTAGATTAAAACTTGAAAAAAAAAGGTTTGAGGTATACCTCAATACTTTTTCCGCTTTCTCAAGTCATCCTAATTAGTCAAAAATTTTCTTATTTATAAAAACGTGTTTTATGCTTTCTATTTTGGAAACATCTTGAGCCATTTTGAAATATAATTGTTAAAGCTTGGCGTTCTTCAAAATGGAAATCGGTTGATGAATATATGTTGTTGTTACTGGCGGAAAAATGCAAAAAGACAAGCAAAAAAGCATGGGAAGTAGAAAAATGTATTTACCAAAATGCAAGCAAATAAGCAAAAGTACCTACTGTTTGAAAAGCAGAATTTTATTAGAAGAGTGTTGTGGCTAACAAATACTTACTTGGTCAATGATATACTAAAGAATAGTTTTATAAATAGTTTTAAAAATTATAAAAAAAAATGAATTTTAGAGAAGTGACTGATAAACATAGTGAATAACCACTACTTGTTTGATCACATTTGCAACTTTTGTTTATCAGTGGCAACGACGGAGCTGCTAATCATTGACTGGAAATGTCATCGCATTTCAGTTTGTTAAACCACTATTAGATTTATGTATCAGCTCTCATTTCGTCGGTTTAGTCCCTGAACTGTGTGAAAATAAATTATTTTGCAAATTGATTCTTAGTCGCTCTTTTTTTTCCTTTTTTCGATAATTTCTTAATTAAATCTAATGACTAATAAATCTGTTATACATCACACCTTCAATTATAACAGCTTTAACGTTACTGATTATACAACCAATTACCTTTCAATAGGATATATATTTTAGCAGTCATAATTTAATATTATTATTATTATTTACTTTATTAGCGTTACCCAATCGTTAATTACGCCAAGGCTTGAAGTATTAGGTCTTTATTATTAATTTACCTTTCATTTTTTTGATACTTCATCAAGTGTTGCAACTGTGTTCTAGTTTCGGCAAGAGGAAATTGTAAACATAACACCATAAAAGAAAGTTTTTTTGTCTGCGCTTATTTTAACTAAAAACATCCAAATCAAATTTCAATTTGATCATTTTAAACAGGCTTGTCTTTTCGTTTTTAGCTTACAGAGTAATTAAATTTTTTGGAAAGATTATTTGATAAAGAAGAAACAAAAAAGGAAAAATAACGACAATAGGCAAAGGAAGTACACAAAGCGTCGTAGGTCTCAAAGTTTTTCTGTATACCTGTGTAATTACGGTTTAATAATAACACGTAATTTCAAAATGATTATGTTATAACTGTTAGGTTAACAGTTTAGAGCTGGGCGACAGCATTGCGCACGATGGTGGTCAATCAATTTTTTTCAAGTTTATTCACTATCAAAATAGCTTTGGCCTTTTTATTGTAAGATTTGGTCGTTCTGACATGTATAGTAAACTCTTCTAGAAATTAATTGGTTTTGAAGCTATTATTTAGTTAGCAAATGTCTTTCACCTAGAGAAAAACTTTGGTGTAATTAAACCATTTAATAGAACTTGGCAAAGTTTGCTGTAAAAAAGGCAGTAAGGACTTCCAATTCTGTAGTTTATAGCTACAAAGATTACGTTCAGTTGTTTAAGGCACAAGTGTTGACAGCTTGCACCTTTCACATTGTATACAGCAACAAAAACAATTTGGCTTCTGAGAACAGCCGTTTGGTGGTAAAAAAAGACTTTGCTCTATTTAACCTGGATTGATAGATTGACAGATAAACGATAAATAAAGAACAGAATTTACCGGTGTTAAGATATCTGCAAGTAATTTTGTTTGAACATTACTGAACAGAAAGCAAACTTTGTAGTATAACCACCATTTCAGCAGGTCAGCTCTGTACGATAACTGTATGTTAGTTTGTTTGCTGCTTTCGTCTCTCTGTTAACGAAGTGATCACCTTACCTGATGAGATCATTCCAGGCTGCTGAGCAAACAATAAACACATGAATTTTGCATTCTATAATGCTGCTTTTCTGCTTCAGTTTGATCAGCTACCAAACATTTTGTTTGTTGTTTGCTTCACTGATATCTGTTAATAAAATTTTTAAACTAAAAAGTGATGAAAGATTTTGCTGTATCAAATTATTTTGGAAGAGCAAAACAGCAAAAAGAACAGACAGACAAGCTAACAAGCAAAGTTATCTCAAGCTAAATGCCCAAGAATTTGTTCTTGCCATTATAGTTATAGTTACTATTCTAACTTCACCGTATCGCATTTTGCTGATAATGAATGAATAAAGTCAGTACAGTTTTAAAAAATACCGTATTGAAAAGAATACAGAAAAGTTGCTCTTAAAATTTTCTTTTTTTATTTTTTACAGTAAAACGATTGTTTTAATGCAGACATTTTAAAATTATTGAACAACTTCAGCACTACCACCAGTCTACAGCAAAAATTGAATTGCATAAAGTTCATTTTAAACGACTACATCAATAGTGAGGTTAATGAAAATAATTTGTTGTATACACGCAAAATAATAGAATATTATTTCTTTTAATATCTATCAGATTTTAAAAGATAATCAAAATACATTCAAATTACAGCTTCTAGTTTTTCTAGAAGCTTTACCATAACTGTCAAACAACACTTAAATACATATGTCATTCTACAAGCTAAATTACTGTAAACTAGTTCGCTGTGACTAAATTTAACAAAAGATTACTGAATTCTCTTAAACCTGACAGAACACGATAAATTCTTCCGATTTTAATGAATTACAACAACCACTAATTGCTTACACGTACCATATTAGGAAAAATAACTACTCGTTTGGCTTATTAGTTCTTAAAAGTTCAAAGATTACTGAAAAAAACGCTTATAGTGCTTAAGCAGCTGCCAAAAAACGACCGCTATGCCCTCGAAAAATTTTCTACCAAACTATTATAATTTTTAGTAACCTGAAAAGAAACCAACCAAACCAGTTTTTTTTTTTTTTTTTTTTTGAATGAAAAGCGTTATAAACAATAAAAACTTTCTTCTTAAACGTGAAATTTAAGTAGAGGTCTATTTGTTTCACATATCGGCTAATTTTTGATTCCTGATGAATGTATCAGTTCGTCGACCTACTTTCTCTATTTCTCAGTCATCAGAAAGTTGAATGTCAGACCAGTGTTTGTCGGTTTGTGCATTTGCATCAGAGAGGAGAATTTAAATTAGTGAATGCCATTTTAAAAGACACTTTTAAAGCACTTCTTAAATATGTCCAAATCAACTTTACAGATGGCAGAAGAGACTGCTTATTTAAAACAGTCGTTCTGTTCAAACAGAAAAACTATTGGTTGAAACGTGATTTTCAGATCCTAACAGCAATCCTAAGAAAAACTGATTGCTAGTTTTACAGTCTTACAGATTTGCTTTTTCATGACACTGAAAATCGTTTGTATAATTTCAAATTTCTTTAAAATAAGACAAAGAAAGAGTAAGTTAAGCAATTTGCTAAAATTATACCTTTTTATGATTTTATATAAACGTAGCTTCTTTAAAATATGCTTTGTTGTTTAATAATGTTTTAATTTCAACCTCGTTAACTACCCTACAGTTACTTTGAGCAGTCGTAATTTGACTAGTAAGAATAACATACAAAAAATCATATTGAAGTTTCTTCTTAACGCAGATTACTGTGGCTCTTCAAATGCCGACAGTTTGGGTCGACTGCAAAAATTACTTGAGAAGAAACCGCTTTGTTTATAACAACACATAAAATGTAAGATTTTTTTTTTGAAAAATTATAAATTTTTTGTAAAATTTAAGCGAACAGTTCTGTCTCAAGTAAGTTATCAAATTTTGAGACAGTTTTCCTGCTATAACAACAGATAATGCGTATCCTTTGATAGCCACTTCTGTCACTTCTGCTAATAATTTTATCATACCTAAAGTTTAACAAATTTTACTAAGTCAGCAATTACACAACTAATTATATGAACGATTTTTTTTTTCGTTTTTTCTTAGCTTGCTGTTTAACTCTGCATAATTTTTCTTTTATCGTTTGAACACCCGCTTTCTCGCACCTTTTTTTCCTGAGAGAATCTTCAGAGGAAAGATTTTTTTCTATTTTCTCTTATTAAACAGTGCTAAATTTTCAACAGCTAGCTGTGCTTTTACTGACCGTCATCGATGTCACTGACATCACTTACACCAACCGACCAGTAAGTAATTAGAAGAAATCTAACAGCTTTTAATCACAGAAGCAACACTGTCGTTTTAACACTACGTTTAACCACTCAAATAAAGTTCCACGTGGTTTAATTACTATGTATATAGACCGTAGATCCATCACTGTTCCGAATGGTTCGGTCGCCAAGTTGTCGACAATAGTCGTGCCGAGTGCTTAAAAAAATCATTTTCTTTTGAATCTAACTGCTGGACCTGGTAGAAACAGAAGTTTGTCAGATCAAACATCTTTTCAGTTTGGTGAGCCTATGCAACTTCTTTCTTTCTTCTTTTTCCATGTTTCGTTTTTTTTTTTTTTTTTTGCGGGGTGGTAGCGTTCTATTAAACCACATTCAACAAGAAGCAAGTGATATCTTTCAAAATCTGTTAACAACCGAGTAGTTTCTCACAAAAAAACGTAGTTGAGATAGTGTTTAAAAGAAGTTTGAACATAATGATAGTGCTCTACTAACTTAGGTGTTGTCGTTACAGTAAAAAAAGGGGGAAAGATTACGTGTTCCGGAAGCAAAAAATGTTTAAAAAAATCACCTCTTATCTGTACAAGAAACCAATACACAACTGTGAAAGGTTAGTTTATATTTTTTGCATTATAAGGTACATACGCATTTTGAATTGTTTTATAAACGCTAACCAAATGTTTAGCAACGACGTCGGCAATCCAGTTGCGCTTCCACAATCAAAAGTGGTAATTAGTCCGGCACAAACAAGTTACAAGTAAGCTTCGTTGCAATCTTTTTAAATTAATTTTCTTTCTTTTACTTCTTTTGCTTTGTTCGTCTTTACTTTATCTTCTGCAAGTTTGGATTGCTTTTCCACAGCGAATTATACGCAAACTGCTTTTAGGCCATTAGCCGTAACCCCGTATGTTATTAATCCAAACTTAACACCTGATGGACTTTCTGCTTATATTGCGGCTCCAACGGTAGCGATTGCAAATCATTCGCTATACACGGTAATGTTTCAACTGTACGATAAACCAGCCTTAAATGTCGATCTCTTTTCTAGAAAAAAAAAAAGATGGAACGAATTTAATTACCAGCTTTAACTTGTTTCTTTCGGCATTTATAGGTAGTCATTGCAATGAAGTAGGCGCAGTTAACCGTTATGTGTAGTTTATCTTTCATTCAATTGCACAAAGAAAATCTCTCTGCTAAACGTAGCTAAACTTGCTTTTTGCTTTGCAGCCTTTAACAACTGTAGATGGTTTAGCAGAACCATTTAGTACAAGGAGTCTACGTCAGAATGTTCAGTTTTTGATAACCAATCGGGCTGAGAAACCGCCTAAGTGAGCCACAGTTTCTTCGTCAATTAGAATTCTCTATTTCCAGAAAGATACTTTTTATAACAACTGCTATTCAGCAATGCTGGTTTTAGAAAAATTCCTGATGAAAGTTTAATGAAAACTTGCGTGTCGCCAGAAAAGATTACTTCAAACCCTGATATACTATTTTCTGAAGCTTATGAAAAACGGTCGAACAATGGTGCTCAAAGGTGCGATTATTCAGCCGACTTAGAAAATTGTGAACAGGGCACTTCAGAACTATTTCATAGTCAGAGACATTTTACAGGTAGAAAGCATCAAAGATCTTACTTAATAATTTGGAGCTTATTTTAAAGACTTTTTAGAGTTCTAGCTCATTTAGGAAATCAAAATGTGAACGACATGAATGCTCCCTCGTATAATGATTCTTTGGAAGACAACATTCAAAATGTTGGTTTTTTTAAGTTGCAAGATGCAGACTATTTCATTAATCTTTGTTTCACTACTTTCTTCCTCACTGCTTATGCCCTATAGAAAGACAGTTTGAAATTCTCTTCGCAGAACTTTTACTGCTTAATTTGGCCGCTGTAGAAAATTGGGATTCTATTTTCTAGGGGGTACAATGTGCATTATTTGTTTAGGTCTACAACGTTGCTCAAACGTCTAATAAAAAGTATTCTAACGACGACTTAGCAAATATGACGGTTGAAGAAAGTCAGACTAGATCAGATCCTGAAATTGAAGAAAGCATAACTAGTATTCAAGTAAGTGATACAAGTAGCTGTTGCTGACTAGAAACTTGATCTTTCACTTATTTATTTTACCGCATTGAGTGTTCCTTCAATAAGTTGTGCTTGCTGTTAATATTACTGGAGAAATGTCATGATTTGTACAAAGTTTAGTGTTGCTTTTGGGATAACTGAAAGTTTAATGAGGGTAACGAAATCAGTTGAAATCTGAAGTTTTATTTTTGTAGTCAATCTGGAATTTTTTTGTGCTAGAAGTTGTAGTCTTGGATTCTAGCGTGGTGTTAGCGAGATGTATATTCACTCGTTACCTAAAAGACAGATTGTTAATAACTCGGCAAGATGTTCACGTCCAAGAAAACACCACCGCAAGAATTCACAGTCGTGCATTTCGTGCGGCACAATGTCAAAACGTATGCATTTGCCATTGCGTTACGCGAAGCACACACTTGAAACTGTTTATGAAGGCTCTATTGAAGACCCGGAAAGACAGGTGTGCTGTAGTAGATTCTAGAAAGTTGGACTTATTTAGATAGTTGTTAATTTTTGGTTGTGGAAATTTTTTTGCTGAAGATATGGTAGTTTTGCAGGAGGAAGCTAACGGAAATACTAACGAGCAGAAAATTTGTGATATGTACCTATGGTGCGGATACTGTTTATTCGGAAACCACTGCCTGTACGCTGACACACACGACAGTAACAAGTTTCGAGATTGGCCATTTGATGTATAAAATTTTTGATGTGTTTCTTGTAAAGTTTGTCTCTTCTTCTTTTATCTTTACAGTCTGGTCATGACATAACACTCATTTTTTGGCCGAGGTTGTTGGTTGGATGATGTTTTTCGTTTAGCTGATATATTTGTTGTTATTATTTTACGTTTTTTGATACGTATGGTTACTGAAAGCAGCAGACATTTTTATTCGTTACATTCTAGCTTGTTTTCTGTGTGGCAAAATGTCTGTTGAGTAATGTACGAGTAACTCGGTCAAATAAAAGCCTGGTTGACCACTGTCCGCTTATTTGAGTACTCAAGTAGTCTGCGGCTCCCTCGCTTACAAATTTTTTTCCTTTGCTAAAAGATCGTTTGCTCATCATTGGTAAATGTGTGACCTTGTTGTTGTCACCTGAAAACAAGCTTTTTGTGAAAATTTAACAGTATTTTGAAGACTGTATTACGCTTAACGAGAATTTAATCTTAATCAACTTTTTTAGATTTGCTTTTACTTCAATTTTTTTAGTGATTTGTGAAATGTCAACTCGTGTTTTAGATTCAGCAATTTTAATTTGTTAGCTTAAAAAAAATTTGAGTCTCTTATCAGCTTAGAGATCGATTTTGTTTGCAAAATAATATTTTCTGTCTAGTTAGGTCTGGGTAACTCCTAACATACTGTACTTGTGTGCTTAGGAGGAAGACCTTGAAAAAGCATTTAATTTTTTTTTTCTTTTTATAGGTATTATAAAAAATTCCAAAGGCGTTTATAGCCTCGTGAATAAGTTTCAAATTGACAACTGACTCATTTATTTATTTATTTATTTATTTTTGTGCGATGAGAGTATTCTAAGAAGGAAAGAGACATTTTAAATCTTTTATTGATGTCGAACTTCGCAGTAGCTCATTTAACAGATTGAGTGGCATTTCACTTTCAATCCGACTGTGTTTTTAAATCTATGTGACATCGGTTTCGTTGGTTTTTCAGATGTGCTTTACAGATATCAGCGTTATTTTTTGTTTCTTTCAAACAACTCTAGAATATTCGTGCAACTTGCCTGTTAACTTGACAGATATGTAAAGAGATGATTCTTCAGTCTATATCAGTGAAGGGGCAGTAACTTGCATGGATCTGGTGTCGAGTTGGTTTCAGGTGTTGAATATGGTGAAGCAAAGCTACCTTTGAAAATTTATAACAGTGCAAGAATCTCGATTTCTCTAGGTGTAATTATATACTTTTAGTGGGAATAATTTTGCTATTTAATGGTTGAATTTACTGTCATTTATAAAAAGAATGTTTTGTAAAGATTATATTTTATTATAATAATCAGTTGTTAAATAAGTTAATCTGTTAATATTGCTTATTGGGAGCATCGTTTTAAAAAGATATAATTGATGATAACAAGAACGACTTAGGCAGAGTAGGAAATTTTAAATTTTAGTTTAGGCCAACTTTTAAAAATAAACATTTAATAAAAATAAATTTGGGGAAAATGGGTAGAAGATACAAGAATATGTTATTAAAATTCTGATATTTGTCGTAGTTAATAGGTATTCTTACAAAGTTAGTTATGATTAGCTTTACTGAAGTATAAATTTAATAAGAGATTGATATATAAAAACATAAACAAGTGTTCTGCTTCTATAGTAAGGTATATATTTCAGTAGTTTGTGAGATCTACAATTTATGGCTGTTCAGTAATGGTAAACGATAACTTGAAGATTGATGACCGAGTTGTTGAAAGGTTTAATAGTGTGCAGAAATCATCAAAAACAAATATTTTGCCTATGATTGTACTTACTTTGAGAACCTTTTTATTATTTGAATACAACTATTTCTTCTTTGATGTATAAATCTAATTTTTTTTGTGTTTTTTGATGCTTTTTTTCAAGTGATTGATCACATTTGATGTGTTTTTGCAGTACAGAAACAGTGTTTATGATGTGACCGAACACCAATAGAACTGTATTTATCGTTGATCATTCATATATTTGAAATTTTTTTCTTTTAGCTTTTTGGCAAAAATTTTTTTCTCGTCACTTTTATTCTCTTTATTTTTTCTACAGGAGTGTAGTGAATAAAATAGGAGGGGGATAGGTAAAGAAAGTAATTTTTGCAGTTTGAGCTCAAAAAGATGAGTTGAGACAAGCGTTGAACCGAGAACTGAGAATTATACTGACAAGGAAGAACAAAAAAAAGGGTGATTTGTTGAGAACGTAGTTATAACAGAATTGATGAATCACTAATATTCTTAAAATAACAAGAAAAGTTAAAAAGAGAAATGAAAATGAATTTTGAAGTGATGCATAACTGAGTAAAAAAGTATCTGAATTAACCATTAAAACCAGTTCTTAGAGCAAAAAAAAAGGAACTGGGTAGATTGAAATATATAGCGGTAAATTAGTTTTGCCAAAAATTAACCGCATTTTTTCTTTCTAAATACTTCTGTGGCATACCCGAAAGATTTCTGTCAATAGCAGTGTTCTCTGAACATTAGTTTTTTGAGAAAGGTAATAAAGAATTGGTAGAAAAAACAGCATTTTTTTTTTTCAATTGTAAAATTAGACGACAGTTTTTAAGATAAAAAAAATTCGGAATTTTTTGCAGATTTCGCGCAAAAATTAAATGAACAGACCTTTGCGGTGCGGTAACTGTGACAGGCGGTTAGGCAGACTGTTTGGGTGAGGGAAAACGCTGTGAGAAGTGAGCAAAGTATGCAGCATTTAAAAAGCACTTTTCATAATTATAACTGTTTTGTCACTTGGTGACAGATTACTTATTACGTGGTTTAACAACTTATTCTGTGGTTCAATTCACCGAAAACAATAGAAGGCTACAGCTCTTGGCAACGTATTTAGCTTAGCATAACCATATTTGGTCTTGAACCACTTCCTGTTCTTCGGTCTTTCAATTCATAACTTACTTGGTCGCAATTTTGTTGTTGGAGTTTTTTATAAGTCTTAACAAAATGCCAAATGCTTGAAATTTTTTTACTTTCAAATTTATAGTAAGTTCTATAAAAAACTTGTTCTTTTTTTTTCGTTTGAACTTCTTAAACAAACACTTTTATGCTTGCTTAAATCTGATTTCCATATTTCTTACTTACATTTATTCAAATTGTTGCTTTTGAACACCATTTAAACACAAACAGTTACATAGAAAAAAAAAGGAGAAAAAAAGAAAGTTAACAAGAACAGCATGACAAGAACAGCAAAATTATGCTGTCACCAAAATAGATCTTAGTTCTTTTTTCAGCTCGGCTGGTCATGCCAATTCTTTCTTGCTTTATTTTCTTGTGTTTCTAAAATTTTTTTTAACGCTTTGAAAAGTCTCTTTGCATGTTGTCTTCTTCTTGCCTTGGAACCTTCGACTACATTTTATTGTTATTTTTTTTTTATTCACTTTTAGATATAATATTTTTAAAATTTTATCTGCAGTGGATGATCAACAATTTATAAAATCTGAACTTTATCAGTAGCAAACAGTAATCGCTCTCATTAAACTGAACAGCGCTCATTGCATTGACAGAAAAAAGACAAAGTTTTTACCAGGTTTTTTTTAATTTCACTTTTTCACCTCTTTTTTGCCTGTTCTTGTCGCTATTTTCTCCTCCAATTCATCTCTCTCTTTCTTTCCACTCAAAGAAGAAACAAATTAAACAAGCAATAAAAATTTGAAAAACTCAAATTGAAGAGTTACTATGATTCATAAAATTTGTTCTCTTTTCATCATCGTCTATGGTGTCATCAATAAAGAGAGGATAGACGAATTTTTTTTTTACGGCAACAATTCCACTGCCGTAACATTAGGATAAACCTGTCTTATGCTTACCCAAAATGGTTAATTTTGTTTGTAGAAGTGTATGATAAATCTAAGATCTTTATGTTTGCAACTGTTTTTGGCAACTGCTCAGCAACAGCAAAAATAATATTTGTTACTAAAAAAACGAAGAGAAAAAGGAAAGAAATATATTATTTTCAGACTGGCCACCAAATAAATGTCACCATAAAAAATTCTTCACCATAAAAAAAACCCGGGTATAATTGTTCCTTTGAAACAATATTCAAAAAGAAAAATTTTTTAATTTAGTTTCTTCAGTGTACAACACTTAGACAGACGTTTAACACCGATAAACGTGAATTTGAATTATAAAATGAATTTACCAATAACTTATTTTTTTTTTTTTTTTGTAAAAACCTGAATTCTTATTCTTTTGTTAAGTTAAGTTTACTATTTTGTTCTTTTTCGCTAGTGCTAAAAACAGTCTAGGAATCAGCACAAAACTGAGCATAAAACTTTGCACACTTGCGAAGTAGAACTGCAGACGAATTCAGACGTGACAAGGAAGCAATTGGTAAAGCACTTCAAGGTCAGTCATATTCACGTTTCAGGACAATATCATTGCTATCGTACAGCAGGTCCTGAATACGATCAGTGCTCAAAGAAGGTGAACTTTTTTGCTTCCTGTACATTTGACAAACTACGCGCTTGAACAAATGATAAATCGAAAAAAAAAAAAAAAAAGAAGACGAGGAAGTACTGCAAGAAGCAAGAAGTTTGATCATAAATGAATAGCTGCTTGTTGTTGTTGTTGTTGTTTCTTATCGAGTAATTTACGTTGGGTTTTTACTGTTTGTAGGATGTCTGATAGTACAAAACAGGTTTACTGCTGTTCCTCAATGGGTTGTGTTAAAAAAAAAATTTGCAAGCCTGTAAAGTGATCTTTTGCTGAAGTTTGTTTTCCTTTTTGGTTTTTTTTTCTGTTTTCAAGTATCACTGAAAAGAAAGCAAGCTGTTTGATTAATTGGTGTTTTGGATCATTAAATTTTGTTTCTGTTTTCCTACTTTTTTTTCTTCCTTTTAATCCACCTATTTTATTGGCTACAAACTTTGTTGTGCCTTTTTTTTCTCTCTTATCTTTTTTTCTCATGCAAAAAAATTAATTACACAGAGTGATTAGTTAGTTGATTGTCGTTTATTTCTTTCTATGGTGTTGCTGTTTTATTTATTTGTCTTTTTTT